TAGTCTAGCCACACATGAAAGATGATACTTAAAACTTATGATAATGGTATCTTCTCTTTTTGTAGAGAAAACACTATTTTGTTCCTAGGGCATAGAGATCTTAGTTTATAGTCTCAGGAAAATTGTATAGTAAATTGGTTGTTCTCTTGCAAAAATAGGGAGAAATACTGAGTATCTTAGGTACTGGGATGCAAGGATAGACGTAAATGATGCATACATACATACATGTATACACATATATTTGCCGTCCCTTTTGTTTGTTTATAGGATCATAGGGTCTTTCATAATTACTTGATTGCTTTCAAATAAAAATCCCTGTTATAAATTTCATAAAGTTGATTGAGAAACTAAAGAAATTGATCAGGGCTTGTTTCATTCAAAAAGCTTATGAAATAAATAAAATAAATATTTTGGGGCATCATTAACAAATGGGAGGAATCAAGAATAGTTTCTCTTAGGAAGTACTCCTTGAGATGAACCTTACTTGAAAGAAGGGAGAACATTCCAGGCATGGGGGACAGGTTGTACAAAATTAAAAGCACGTGAGATGAAATGTCAAGTACAAGAAATAGCAAGAAAGCAAGTTTGGTTAGAACTGTCATATTTTCAGAACAGGGATTGCAAATAGATTATGAATTGGGCCCAGAAACGAATAAGAGGAGAACAGTCTGGTAGATTACTTTTGGGAAATTGTTCGGTGTTGTTAATTATCTTAAAATGCTCCCTAGTGTGCAGACCCCTCTTTTCAACACAAATTATCTTTCCTCTGTGAGTTGCAAATCATATAATGACACAATCTCTAAGAAATTAAAATTGTGTGTTATCCTAAATGCGTTGGAGAAATGCGTGATGTGGTAGATGCAGATAAGCTGCTTCATATTTCCAATGATATCTTATTTTCTCTTCTTTTCTTTACCTTTCTTTTCTTTTTTCTCTCTTTTTTGTTCTGACTGAACCTGTGATTTCATTGGTATAGGGAGCTCTCAGTGAGGAAACTTCATCAACCAAATCAGATTGACATCTACCAGGTGGATTGATAAGATATGATATGGTATATGATGTGATATGCTATATTATATTGCCTTGCATTATATATGAATCCCTTTAAAATGGAGTAATAATAGCACTTTCCTCACAGGTTTGTTTTGAAGATCAGATGAGCTAATGTATATACAGTCCTTGGCAAACCTTTAAGCACTATATAAAGATAACTATTATTAAAGGTTACCTTAGGCACTGATAGACTGAGTGACTTGTCCAGGTTCACATAAGCGGGATTTATCAGAGGCAAAGCTTAAACCCAGGTCTGACTCCTAGGCCAGGTCTCTATCCACTATGCAATGATTTCCTTTCTATTAAAGATGTCAGAAAGAAAATGTATGATCAGAAAAAGAAGTGGGTCAATTGGGTACTATGAGCAAAGGAAAACACACATACAGCCAAAATCTATTTTGGTATCTCAAAGGTAAAGAGACCTAGAAGAAGGCCACAAGCATATTAAATGGGATCTTCTATGGAGGATCTGTGGAATAATGTGGGAAAAAATTGCATGAAATCTGTTCTGTACCAATGGAGGAAATAGTAACATCAATGATATCATGGATATCATAAAATATTGAAGTGTTTAGTTGTTCACATAACTCCATGGCATTGGTAAGATAGATAATAAAATTTCTAATCTAAAATTTGTAGATGAAGCATTTAAATTTCAGAGAAATCACACGACTTATCTATTGTTACAACATTAACAAATAGTAGATGCCAGGGCTTTTAAAAATACATCAATTATTTCCTATACACAACATTTATTGAATGTCTACTATGTACAGAACATTGTTGAAGGGAATATATAGATAAATACGACATGATCTCTGATCTCAAGGAACTCACAGTCTAATTGAAGAGAAAAGGTATAAACACTTGAAATTTTAGGCCCTCACTGTAGCAAGAAAATCTTTTTACTAATGGGGGAGAGGGAAGGAACAAGCATTTATTGAGTGCCAACTTAGCTGAGCACTTTCCAAACATTGCAACTCTGAAATGTAGGTGCTATCATGATCCTCATTTTGCAGCTGAGGAAATTTAGGTAGGCAGAAGTGAAGTGACTTATTCAGAGTCACACAACCAGTAAGTGTCTGAGGCTGGATTTGAACTTAGGCCTTCCTGACTCTAGGCCCAGGACTCTATCCACTGCACCATCTAGATGGCTAATTGATTCTTTATCTCAATACCTCTAGAAGTTATCCCAAACCTTTTTTTCTCTTCTAAAACCTCCTATTCCCCACTCTTTCCCCACAACTGAGGGCCTCTTCTCATACTTTCCTGAAAAAGTAAACGCCATTGGCAGAAGGTCCCCTTTCTCTACATCTCAAAAAAATCTTTTTCTCCTCCTTTACTCCATTCTATGATAAATTACTAGTCTTTTTCATCAAAGGTAACTTGTCTATATATACACTTCATCACATATCCCAACTCCTTCAGTTGATTTGCCTTCCTCAGTTATCTCTGACTTTTACTTGATATCTATTTTATTCATTCTCTGTTGCCTAAATATAAATCTAAGTGGAATCTTTCTTTAAAACAAGCAAAGAGACAAATTACAATAAAGCCATCACTAAACCCTACTATTAAACTACTATATTGACACCCAGGCCTTGTCGTCAGACCTGCCAATAAAGACCTGCCTTAAAAACCTTTGGACATTGCTGAGCCCTCCAATATGTGTTGTCTCTTTCAATTAAAATGTGAGCTCCTTGAGATCTTGGATTATCTTGTTTTTACTTTATATTCCAAGTGTATAGCAAAGTGCTTAGTACATATTTAGGACTAAATAATGTGATTTTTCAATCATTTATTCATTCATCCATCACTATACAGAAAGACATATAAAACCTCAAAACCAGGCCTTTTCAACATGATAGTACCTCAAAGACAATAGCCTTTGAGAACTTAAGATCACCTCTGTAACATAGTGAGACATACTACAGTATATGATTAGTGTCATCTGATTAATGATTAATTAATTAACTGCAGAAATACTTAGCTATCCATTATTCTAAACATATAATTTGGTGCCAGAGAATAAGAATTACAAGCAAGAGTTCTCCAGGGTTCTTACCTTGAGAGGTTAGTTCAATCTTTAGAGACTCAAAGACTTGATCTGAGGAATATACTAAAATATCTGTCTACCTTTTGACACTCAAAAATGAACCAAAATGTAATGAAGCTGGAAGACTTCTAAAGCTGTTTTATTTTTCTTAAGGAAAGAGAAAAGGGTCAGGGCTTGATGTCCACTAGAACAGAAAGGCAGTGTCAATTATCTATTTCTGCCTCCCAATTTAAGAAAATATATATATATATACAATTCAAAATGTTTTTCAAAAAATAGAAAAAACTAAAACTATTTGCAAAATAAATTTGTGATTCAACCTGAAGTTTGGAGTCTAACTTGTTGTTTATTCTTTTTTATGTTGTATTTTTGATAATATGAAGATGGTATATATCGCCTCTGGCTTTTTTCTGGGCAATGCTATAAAATCACGACATAAGAGGGTAGCCTGCAAAATTCTGACAACGATTTGTTACACTTGTAGCATTCATTGTCTCATTGCTTCTGTTTGGGTTGCTAACCTGTACCTGGTACAATGAATTACTCTGTCCTTTTACAAAATAGTCTGTTTACAAAAAATCATATTCCAATAACCTCAGGTAGAAGCAATTCTCAAGAAAAGGAGTCCAGAGCATAAAGATACATTAAACAAACTACCAGCAAAAAAAAATTTTAAAGTAGTAAAGGGATTTCTCTGAGTTTTCAAGAGCTATTTGCCAAAATCTCAAAAATTACTTTTATACTCCTCTTGTCTGAAGGGCCTACAACTGAATCCCAAATACATTTACATGGATTCAGACAAAGTTGACTCAAACTGCTTCAGGTCTACAATACAACTTCCTTGCTTGCCATAGTTTTGGTTGACATTGTGAGGGTGTAGCGGGTTAACTGACATCAGCAAAGTTCCACTAGTATCCTGGAACACGACTGTTTATCAAAAGATATTATTTGGAATAGAAGGTTACAAAGGTTACATGCTTTGAGTTTCCATTCTTCTATTTACCACAATCACATTGGTGGTGTCTATTCTCTCTACAAATGTGAATGACAGCATTTATATGCCTTAGTAGACAGACTTTATGAGTTGCTGTGGCCAAAAAAAAATGGTAATCACATTTTGTCCAACCCTCTGTTGCTGACCCTTTATGAATTGTGTTAGGTTATTTCTCAGAAAAGACTGCTGGCAGATATATGTCATATGCCCTTTCAGATTCATAGACTCCTCCAGAGTTTGATACCTGCTGAACAAGTCTTCAAAAACCTGGGGCGTTTTCCATGCCATGATAAGGCTGATTAAATCTACAGTGGAAGTTTCTCTCTCTGTGTTGAATATATAGTTTTACCTATGACAAATTTGCATCACAAGTAAGGACTTACTAGATCAAGTCATGAATCATTTACTTTCTACATTACACTAAATATTATTATTACCCTTGAATAACATGGGACTCCTTACAAATAATTTATTCCAGTCCTGTTGTAAAGTTGCATATGAAAATGTTATCAATGAACTAGGGAATCTGGTAATAATAATGTTGCAATATTATAACAAATAGGTAGTCCTGTTGTTTTGTTCTTTTTTAATATATCAAATGTATTTCATTGCTTACATTATAGTAGCAGATTAAAAACATCTGCTCACTTGCCACTAGAAACAGAAAATTTCAGTTCATTTTCCTTTCGGCCAGCTTGCTTCAAGGCAATTGTACCAGGACCAGAATCCAGCTGCCGAGTCTTGATATGGGGCCAGATTTATACTCAAGAGTCTTTTAAATGGAAACAATGCCTCCTTGCCAAGGATTAGCACAGTGATAAACTCCATTTGCTTTGCTCTCCCCTTTTCCCCGCTCCTCATACCCTCCCTACCTTTTCCTCCAAACTCCCTTTGCAGCTCCATCACCTGTCACAATAATTAGAAAGGACCGGACATCTAGAAACAGTGTCTCGTTATCTTGGCAAGAACCTGAACATCCTAATGGGATCATCTTGGACTACGAGGTCAAGTACTATGAAAAGGTGAGAGATAAAAGGTTAATGGTAAAGGGAAGAGGGCTAATTTCTTACACACCCCACCCTTGCAATGAAAGCTCCTGACATCATCACTACATTGTAGGTACAGAATGAGGGTTCAGTGAAAACCTTTTTTTATTGGGAAAAAAGACATTGTTTTCATTTTAGAATCATAGAATGAGAAGGGATTTTGTGGATTACCTAGTCTAATCCTTCATTTTACAGCCTCAGAGTTTTTCACTACTAAATGCTTCCAGTTCAACTGCCTAACACTAGGAAAGAATTAAGACTGGAACTTAAGTGTCATGACACTCAGTCCAAATTTTTGTCCATATTATGATATTATACTGTTGTAGTTGTCAAAATCTGACTTCCTACAGATCTCTATCCCTATATATATATCTATGCATGCATTTATAAATACATGTGTATGCATATTGTTGTTGTTGTTCTTAAGTTGTTTCAGTCATGTCCAACTTTAATGACATCATTTTGGGGTTTTTGTTGCAAAGATTTCCTTCTCGAGCTCATTTTACTGATGAGGAACTGGGGCAAGCAGAGTTAAGTGACTTGCCCAGGGACACACAGATAGCAAGTGTCTGAGTCCAGATTTGAATTCAGGAAGATGAGTCTTCCTGATTCCAAGTCCAGTGCTCTATCCATGGTACCACCTAGCTGCCCCATGTATATAAATACGAATGTGAGTGTATACTCACACATATGTACATATTTACACATAAACATGCATTTAAAATATACATGTGTATAATCTACATATATATTAATCTACATATTTCAGAAAACTACAAAAAACCATTGTTCAATCAAAAGCTGTCATGCAATTGAAATCTCTTAATGAAACAGGACATTTTTTCTTAATTTTATGCTTGTAATGCATATTTAACATTAGAGGGGAAAGATTTTTTCTTCCAATTAAAAAATCAGATAAAATCAGGCAATATGGCATATAATGGAAAGAATACCAGACTTGGAGACCTACAACCTAGTAACTGTCACCAACTAATTGAACAAGAAATTTACTCTTTCTGGACATCACTTTCTTCACCTGTTTAAAAAAAAAAAGATCCGGATTAGGTGATCTCTATGGCAGGGTGATAGAATGGAAAGAGGCCTGCCTCTCTAGTCAGGGGCCCTTTGTTATAAGCTGACCTTCTAATACTAATTACCTGTGACAGTTGGGTGGATAGAGGACTGCAGCTGTAGTCAGAAATACTCAACTTCCTGAGTTCAACTCTGACCTCAGATACTTACTAGCTGTGTGACACTGGACAAGTCATATTACCCTGTTTGTCTTAGTTGCCTATCTCTAAAATGAACTGGAGAAGGAAATGGCAAACACTCTGGTATCTTTGCCAAGAACACCTGAAATGAAGTCACAAAGAGTTGGATATGACTGAAACAACCAATGACCCTGGTTAGTGGAGTAATATCAGTTGACCTTAGTTTCCTCATCTGCAGAATGGGGAAGAGGAAGTAGATAAAATGGCCTCTGAGGTCCTTTCAGTTCTAGGGTTATGAACCGAAATGCGTCTTTCAACTCAGATTCATTGACATCTATGCCTTTATGGTGCAATAGATAATACCATTATAGGAATCTAGACATACTTGCCTAGAGAAACTATGGATATACTTCATTGCTGTATAAAGCAATTGTCTCTTTCTGATTTAAAATTATTTTAAATATTATAAGTAAGATTGTTCAAAAAACATCAAGACTTATTAAATGACCTCATGGTCATGTTGATCATTTGCAAGATATATTTTCCCTCTTTAGTACATTGACTACACTTATGATTTTGTGGTATGATTGTTAATTTGGGGATTTACAAGGACTCTTCTGCAAAGTTTTAAGATATTTCAAAGATGTTACTTGTGGTATCATGGATAGAGTGCTGGGCTTGGCATCAGAGAAATATGTGTTCATTTTCCACCTCTGACACTTACTAGCTATGTGACTCTGGTCATATCATTTAACTTTCTTGTGCCTTAAGCACTTCCCCTGGATTCAACCACTGAGTCATATGGTCTGAGATCTTCTTCAACTTTCAATCTTTAATATGAACTGATTGAAGAAATAGCTACACTGTTGTCTAACATTGATGAAATCATAGACCATTCCTATATCTCTGTATACTTTTAAGTATCATTTTATTAGGTTAGAGGCAGATGGAGAAATATGTGAGAGTATAAAGAGGTTCAATAATACTAGCACATGCAAAGTAATTCTATCAATCATTTGCAAAATATTCAGTGTGTAATTCCAATGATTTTTCAAGTACAATCATTGAGTAGGAAAGGACTTTAGAGATTATCTATTCCAATATCCTCAAGTTCAGAGAAGATTACTTATCCAAAATCACACAGCAAGTTTGTGCTGGGGCTAGAATTAGAACCCCAACCACCTGACTCTCAGGTTAGCACTTTTTACATTATGCCAGCTGCCAAAAATGCATTATATTTTCTTGTGATTTTTTAAAAAAATCTTTCAAAGCATATCCTAATTGTATTGTCACTAAAATCCAATTTTCAAATGGGGAAACAGAGAGACAAAGGAGTATATTCAAGGATGCAAAGCCCAAATTAGGACTGGGTTCTCCTGACTCTTAAAATAAGTGTTTGGTTTTTTCCCTACTATAACATAAATATAATCTAAAACATTTAAAATAAAAGTTTTATTGAATTTAACCTAAAGATATATGCAAATTGAGCTTTTAATTTTCACTCTTGATCTTTCTGGAACAGCAGGATCATAAGCTTAATTTATTGAATAGGCCACATAGAGATGTTTACATTCCCAGAAATTATCAGGTTTCTGGATGATATAGTGGGAGTACCTGAAAATTACAAATATTTGAGTCCCTAGATTTTTCCCCCTGCTATTTTATCTTTTTTGTTGTTTGTTGTTGTTGTTGTTGTTGTTTAGTTGGCAAGGTAGTTACAAGGTGGTCTACCACCCATTTGGGATCTACTGAGTCTGATGGAAATAAATATTTATATGAAATAATTTTCCTAGAGGTTAACTCAAATGACAGTTTTTAACATACCACATTATTGATCAAGGTGTCATCCATATTACATATATGGGTGGTGTGTGTGTATGTGTGTATATATATATATATATATATATATATATATATGTAAAACCAATTCTTGTTTTACCCAAGAAAATAAATATAATAGGATCAGCGCTCTTTTTTGATGCTACAGTATTAAAATTTGGTAGAGAATATACTGAAATTAATATAAAATTCCCAGTGCAAACAGTTTCACAATTTTCTGAAGTTCTATTGCATAGTTGCCATGATGCTTCCAGCCTCTCAGATTTCTAGGGCTACTTACTAGGGTTCAAAGGCCAATTTTTCTTATTTTTTTTCTTTCAAAAAATAGAATTTTTAGATTGATGGTATTCAATGCATTTGTTTATTTTGATATTTGCATGTATATTAAATAAACAGTTTGGAAACATATGTTCCAGTTAGGGAAACTGAATTCCCCCGAGTTCTCAGCTCTGCTGGCAGTGAGTCATTTCTGGTATCTCATCTCAAGTCACTAGCTATCAACTGTTGAATTGCTGTATTCAGAATTATTCTGTTCACAGAATCATAGCAACGGAATTGTCAAATTTCAGAGTAAAAAAGAACTTGAGTAATAAACTAGTTTATTTTATTTATTTATTTATTTATTTAATTTATTTAATTCCTTTCATTTTAGAGATGAGGAGGCAGATGAAACCCAAAGAAGTTAAAGAACTACATACTGCCTAAGGTCACAAAGCTGTTGGATGCTAAAATTGAGACATGAACTTAGATCATCTAAAACTGTTATGGGTCTTGTTTGTTTTCTTGATGAAATCCAACTGTAGAAAATTTGTCTTGACCTATGAGGAAACAAAGACCCAGATGATTTTCCACAACAGGTCTATGTGTATATACATATGCACATGCATGCATACATATACACATACGTATGTATTTGTGTATGCATGTATATATATATACACACACACATATATATGCATATGCAATGTGTATATATGCATATATATACCCCGAATAAGTTAATATATTTCCATTGCAGAATGAACAGGATATCAACTTACATTTTAAGGAAACCATGCGAGAAACTGCTTGTTGGACAAAAGCTTATTGATGCCCTAAGAGAGTTGTTAAATTGGCAAATTTCCATGTAAGAAAAACCTTATTCAGCCATGTTATATACAGTTCACAGAGAATGCCTTAACCAAATAATTACTGATAGATTACAAGAGCTAGGATGGATTTATTGGACTATCAATCCAGGGGTTCCCAAACTTTTTTGTTCCCCACATGCTTTGGCTTTCAGTAAATCCTCCTGAAAGCTGTCTTTCATATGAAAGGCAATTAATTCTAATATTTACCAATTCATATGAATATAAAAATAAAACAAAGAGATTAATTTTGATGAAGAAAATATTATCACATAACATTTTTCTAAGAATACTACTACTTTTCAGATATTTCAAAAGGATAATAAAGTTATTTGCCAAACATTGCCCCTACCCCCTTGATGATCTTTGCATATCTTCAGTATCAAATGTTATCCCAGTTTGGAACCCTTGATGCAATCCAACCCCCTTGACTTTAGCCATTTTACTGAAGACCCAAAATCTGTGGTCATTTGTTACGCAATTTATAATTATTGAACTAAAAGGATTGATTTCTGTATTGTTCAGTGTCTGAATAAGAAAAGATTAATGTAGGAAACCATGTTTGTTGGGTACATACACATGTTCGTCTCCCCTTCATTTGCTTCTGGCAAATGATAAGAACGTTGTATAGCAGACCACAGATGTCATTAGCACTTACTGCACAGCTTTCAAAGGAGGTTAAGAAAAAAGAAATGGAGAATTCACACTTCTAGCAATAGGCATCTTGCCCTAGTTTCAGGAAGGCATGTAGAGGGGACACAACTCAACCAAAATTCATATTTCTGGCTAGCAAGGCATGAATAATTCATCTTCCTCATGGTGGTCAGCTCACCTAAAAGGGTGTATGTACAGGAAACACATCTCACTGGGCAAACAGAATTAAGAACTCTTGGTGACTCCAGGGCCTTTAAACTTATAAGGTAATGACCAACGTTAGGAACATCCATCTTCAGATCCCTGTTGTACCCAAGGAAAGAAATGTAAAAGAAGAGATCCTAGAAACTTGAGATCCATGCCAAACTCAAAGAGATGACACATGTGTTTACTACCATATATGTGGAGCTCCCATAGCTGTTGAAGCAAAAGGAGAGAGGAGAGGAGGAGAGAAATTCCTTACCTAGAAATCCAAGAGTTCATAGATGACTGGCATGTTTGAAAGAATGTAAGAGATAGCAAGAAAGAAGTTGTTTCTTCATTTAAGCTATTGAGTAGGAGCTTTTCCAGCTGAGTAGCCCATCACCTTTGACATAGCCCTCCCCATTTATCACCTATCACAGGGGCCAATAGCTCACTAAGAGCCTATGATAGTTTATGCCCTTTAGCAAGGGGCTAGAGCAAAGGGGACACTGGAACTGTTTTAAGCATGGAACCCACTAGAAGGAGTAAGAATGAAGGCTCATCCCTGTCACTGTTATAATAATACTGCTGTTTAGTCGATTAGTTGTGTCCAAATTTTCATGAACCCATTTGGGATTTTCTTGGCAAAGATACTAGAGTGTTTTGCCATTTTATTCTCCAGTTCATTTTATAAATGAAGAAATTGAGGCAAACAGGGTTAAGTGACTTGCCCAGGATCACGCAGCTAGTATTTGAGTCTGTATTTGAATTCGGGTTCTTCTGACTCCAAGTTCAGCACTATATCCATGGTGCCACCTAGCTGCCCTGTAATAATACTACAAGCATAGAATCATACATTTAGGACTATAAAGAACTTTAAGCATTATCTAATCCAACCCCTTCATTTTGTAGATGAGGAAAATGACTCAAACAGAAATTAAGGAATTTATCCAAGGTTACACAGTTTGTAAATTGACAAAACTAGAATTTGAATACAGTTTCTCTGACTCCAAAATATGGTACTCTTTCCGTTGGCAGATAAGTGGGACGGTGGTTCTGGGCCTGGAGTCAGGAAGAATTGAATTCAAATCCAACCTCAGACACTTACTAACTATGTGATCCCAGGCAAGTCATTTAACCTCAGCCTCAGCTTCTTCAATTGTAAAATGGAAATAATAATATCACCTGTCTCTCGGGGTTGTTGTAAAGATCAAATGAGATAGTATTTGTAAGGTACTTAGCACAGTGCTTGGCACATAGTGAATGTTTCTTTGCTTCATTCCTTCACTTTAGCTTAGCAGTTTGCTTCATTGTCAGAGAGAGCCCCTGATTCTGTCCCCACTCTGTGCTTTAAAAAATTAAAAGTAATTAAAAATAAAATAATTGTTCTTTATGTTGCTGTGAGCATATGAAACAGGTTAGGGCTCAGAGAAAGTTTCAATTCACATCCAAGAATGAATTTTCCAAGACATAATCATTTCTTTGTATATTTACCAGATTTTTTATTGATGAAATAAAAAATGATCGTGTCACTAATAGTATTCCAATTTGAAGAAATAGTAAGAGGGATGAATTTTTGCATGTGCCTATCAGTAGATGATTTTCTTAGCATAAAAGGGCTGCTATGGAATCTGAGCTAGCATGTTTCAAAAGAATAAAAAGCATCTAGGCTTCTCTGGAGCTTATTCTAATGGAATAAATCCCATTAATTCAATCTCCTGCCTCCTCATTTGCAAACTCACATTTCTCTGGTAAAGTATACTTGTTTTGCATAGCCCTTTCCTCATAAGGAAACTGTGGCTAAGTGACTTGCTCAACTTCACATATTTTTTTTTTAGCAGATACTTTTTTTTTTCAATTCCAAATTCTCTCCCATCCCACTCCCCTACCCAATGAGAAGACAAGAACAAACCTATTACAAATATATATAGTCATGCAAAACAAATGTCTGTATTAGACACATGTTTTTTAAAGCAAGTAAAAGAAAGGGGGGATGTGCTTCAGTCTGCATTCTGAGTCCATCATTTCTCTATCTGGAGATAGATAGCATATTTCATGAGTTCTTTGGAATTGTCTTCCAAAGTTGATTATCTCTATAATATTCTTTTTACTGTATAAATTGTTCTCCTGGTTCTGCTCACTTCACTTTGTATCAGTTCATATGGATCTTCCCATTTTTTTCTGAGACCATCCCCTTCATCATTTCTTATAAAACAATAATATTCCATCACATTTATTCCTACACCACAACTTGTTCAACTGTTCCCTATTTAACGGGTGTCCTCTGTTTAAATTCTTTTCTACCATGAAAAGGGCAGGTAGGTGGTCAAGTGTATAGAGTGCTGGGCCTGGAATCAGAAAGACCTGAGTTCAAATGTGGCTCAGACTTACTAGCTGTGTGATCCTGGACAAGTCACTTAACCCTGTTTGCCTCAGTTTCCTCATCCATAAAATGAACTGGAAAAAGAAATGGCAAATCACTCAAGTGTCTTTGCCAAGAAAACCTCAAATGGGGTCACTAAGAGCTTGACACAACTGAAATGACTGAACAACAACAAAGCTACCACAAAGAGTTGCTATAAATATCTTTGTACATATTGGTTCTTTTCCTTTTTCTTTGAGCTATTCAGAGTGCTACTTGCTGGGTCAGCTGGTATACACAGTCTAGTAGCCTTTTAAGCATAGCACTAAAATGCTTTCTAGAATGGTTGGACTAGTTCACAGATTCATTAACAGTGAATTAGTGTGCCTGTTTCCCCACATACCCTCCAACATATCATTTTTTTTAATCTTTCTTTGTCTGATGAGTATGAGGTGGTACTCAGAGTTGTTTTAATTTTCATTTTTCTAATTATTAGTGATTTAAACCTTTTTTTAATATAGCTATCCATAGTTTTAATTTCTTCCTCTGAAAATTGCCCATTCATATCCCTTGGCCATTTGTCAATTGGGAAAAGATCTTTTTCTTACAAATTTGGTTGTTTCTATCTATTTGAAAAATAAGACTTTTTTTTATAATTTCTTATAGTTATAAAGATTAGATTTTAACATGATTCTTTCTTACCTCAAAGCAGGAACAAGAAACAAGTTATACCATTCTAAGGGCAAGAGGCACGAATGTTACCATCAATGGCCTCAAACCTGAGACTGCTTACATATTCCAAATCCGAGCCCGAACAGCAGCCGGTTATGGGACCAACAGCCGCAAGTTTGAGTTTGAAACTAGTCCAGATTGTATGTATCATTTCAACTGATTTTAAGTGTCTGTGTGTGCAGTTTTAAACCAACTGGAATGGTTAGTTTCATTCCCTTCCAGACTTCAGTAAATGTGATGTACAGTAACTATTTATGATCTCTCATTTACTGTAATAGTAGTATGGAATTTTATATTTTATCTTTTCAATTAAAATCTGCTGAGGGGAACTATGGGGAACTATAACAGGTGGGTTTTCCCCTCCTTTTTGTACCTGATCATATTTCCACTGCTGGAATAAATATTTTTCTTGGTAAGCCAGAAACTTGTGTTAAAGAAAGGTGTTTGATAAAGTAACAGAATCCCAATGGTACTTATTCTGGATATCCCAGGTTTCTTGCTTGATTCAGTCAACTGAGTACTAGAAATTTACTTAAACATGAGGACTTTGATTTTTTTTAACCCATAATGTAGTAGTCAGAACATATATTTTTATATCATTTAAAGATTAGAGATTGCTTTTTCCCACATCTGTTTAATCACTTCAATTACAGTCACCTACTTTTAGAGAGTCTATTTCAATCTGAAATTTACACTACCTCTAAGTTGGCAAGCATTTTCTAAATTAAATAACTTCAGTATTTGATTTGGTAAAACAGTCCCTCATCTTTTCCCAATGGAAAATTTTGTTTTCTAATTTCTTATTTTTAATGGAATAATTTTATTTTGATTCAAAAAAAAAATCCTACTCATTGTTCTAAGTAAGAAAATGTTCTAAACTTGCCAAAGTAAATTGGTTATTAGTATGGAGTGAATATGTTCAGGGCTGTTTCTATAAGAAATATATTAATATTTTATTAAAAATAAAAGTGTGCTTTTGCCTCTACAGCTTATAAAATCCTAAAGAACAATGTCAATATTTAACTGTTTTATCTATGACTACACAATAATGTTTGTTTTATCTGTCCAACTAGCAAATAGGTCTTACCCTCCAGCATACAATTAATTTATCCTTCTCCCAAACTTTCTCAATATGCCATGGTTCAGAAAATCAACTTATTGTAAATGTGATGGTTCACATTTCGTATGCTGAACTCTAATGATAAAAACAAAACCTCTCCTACAAAATGTTTAAGAAAAATTAAGTTATTTGAAGTAATATAATAATATTATTCAATTACGACATAAGAATAGTTATACTCAGGCTATTTGCAATTTGAATATATTGTAGAGAATCAATTATCAACTTAGCTTTTTTTTAAACTTCCAAAAAGACAGTTTAAGCTTTAAAATACATTCATAAAACATTCACAAAGAATGACTGTTAATCACAAATATAAACATTAAAAATGTTAACACTATCCCTATTTTAGATTATGAAAGAAATGAAGCATTTTATTTCCAAATAAATAAGAGATATATTTTGGAGAGGCAGTGCATAGAAAGCTCATATAATACTTCATACTACTAGCCAGCATTTAGCCCTGATTAATCTGACATATATGTGAATTTGCAAGAACAACAAAAAAAAAATTCCGACAGTTTAATGTAATCCAAGATTATACCACAGATACTGCTGTGGTAAGTTTTACTCATGAACTCCTAATAAGACTTGAGTGTCTGAGGTTTAAAAAATGTTCTGTTTAAAGACTACAATGTCTTAAAAATAAACAACGAAATTTTGCAATATAAGCCAAATGGTTTTACACTTGGAATGTTTGAATAGAGGGGAGAGGTAGGGAAAGAGGGGCATGTGAACTATTTTCTTCTCAATTCCCATTTTTTTTAGATAGTATTATGGTTAAGTAGCATGAATTTAAAAAAAAAATCAATTAAAATCAATTCACATGCTTTTTTCAGTCTTAAAATATCAAAAGAAAGTGTCATCTGCCTTAAATAAAAGTCTAAGAAAAATTCATTTTCAATCTTAAAAAAACATTAAAATATGTAAGTTATTTGGCTTAGTAATATGTAAAAAACTGTATTTGTTGTGAAAACATATTAGATGATATGATAAGAACAGTAGATCAACTTTTTAAAATATATCATGCAAATTCATTAGCTAGAAATAATCAATAGTCAAATTTTACAACACGAAATCATCTAGTTTGTGCCACCTCCCGTTTCGTGAATGAACAAAGTCTTTTTAAATGATTTTGCCCAAAGTAACAAAGGTTGTAACTATTTGAAACCAGCAATTATGACTCTCCATCTTGTACTTTGACCAATACATCACAGTTACCAAAAATTTTAGAGGGAGTAAGGTGATAAAGTAGATAGAGCACTGGACCTGGAGTTAGGAAGACCTGAATTCAAATCTGAACTCAGACACTCACTGACAATGTGACTGTGGGCAAGTCACTTAACCTCTGTTTGCCTCAGTTTCATCATCTGTAAAATGGGGATAAAACCCTCCCAGGGTTATAGTGAGAACATGTGAGATATTATTTGTAAAGCCCTTTGTAAACCTGAGAGATACATCAATGTTAACTATTATTATTAAAATAATTTAACATTTTTATCCAAAATTTTCTAGTTTTCAGTAATGACAGTGACATTGTTTTCCTTTAGTGCTTTGCAGAATCCAGTGGTATTATAGAATGTTAGAACTAGAAGGGTCCTTAGAGATCATTTAATTCACTCGCCTACCCATTTATAATTGAGGGAAATGAGATTTCTTTCTGGAAGTTTTTCTCTCTGGAGTATACATTGAGCTATGTTGTGTGAGGTGGTTAATAAAAATTCATTAGAGATTTTAAAACTTTCCACCTTTCATATATATGTACCCTGAAAATAAAAATATAATCACAAATATAGCCCTTTAAAACTATATTCCATTATAACAAAATATAACATAATATGACATACTCAAAAGGATCTATAATCTCATTTGGTTTACTTGCCAGACACACAGAAAACAACCAGTGGCAACACTGAGTTAGAATATAACTCATGTATGAAATCTTCCAAAGAAGGCTGATGGATAATAAAGTACAGCAATGCGATTAAAATATCATACCATATCATACCATACCATACCACACCATACTATTTGGGAATCTTTGTCATATTGATGAGTTTGTGTTGAATGTGTTTCTGCCTGGCCTTAATGAATAGAGAATATCATTTTAAAATGTGAAACATCATGACATAGTGAGTAGAGAACCAGCCTGCCAAGGAAGACCTGGTTTTGAATTCTGCCTCTGAAATATGTTTGTTGTGTGACTCTGGGCAAGAAGTGTAAATTGCCCCAGACAACTTTCTAAAATTATAAATTTTAGAGCAGGTGCTAACCTGAATTGGTAGAATGAGTTTTTTTTTTTAAAACTGGAAATTCTCTTTACCCATTAAATATCAGGCATGCATCACCCTTCTACCCTGCCCTACCACCATTTAAAAAATAAGATAATGACATACTGTCCCATTTTAGATTCTTATTTCAAATAGGGCAGAGTCAATAGGGGGGAGGGTGTACCACCTCTCTATCACCTGCCCCTGCCTTTCCTCAGCTAGGTACTCCTAAATGGCCATGTCTTACAGTAGCAATTCTCATACATTTTGTTGTCAAAATCCTTTCCATGCTAAAAAATATTTATTTTTTGTTCATGTGTGTTATATCTATCACTATTTGCCATATTGGAAACTACAGTCTATTAGTATTATTATGCAAAGTTTTGACCTTGTATACCTCCTGAAAGGATTCAAAGAATGCCTATGGGTCTGTAAGTCATACATTATAGAAAACTTTTTATACCAAGGCATAGAGTTTGATGATGTTCAAACACCCCAGTCCACTAGTTAGTAAGTTCCTGTTCATCATGGTATTAATTTTTAAAAGAAAACATGCTAGATTCCAAACAAAAACTTAAAAATTATACTCAGAAACAAACTAATCATTTATGTAGTACTTATATTTCTGTAAATGTGAAGCAAATGCTGTGATAGAGTATGGTCTCAAAGTATAGGAGCATACATGTTTGGTATAGGGTACATTGTAATCCCAAGGAGATTAAGGGTCATCGATAAAAAAAAAAAACAACAACCATAATTTAATTAAATTTAGTTTAACAAGTATTTATGAACCATATCCAGTGTTGATGCTGGAATATTAGGTACCTTTGTATAAACAAAAGTCTTTTTTTGTAACTCTACCTATAATTTAACTCCCTCCTTTCATATATATTTTAAAATCTTCTTTAATTACCAACTGTTTGGACATTATATAAAAATAGTCTTATTTCAAATCCCTACCTGATTTTTCTGAAAATTTTCTGATTCTGAAAAAAAAATCTACCTAATGAAGAGAGATAATCAAGTTATATGATTTATTGCTTTAGAAATTTGGCATAATCTGAAGAAAATTACATGATTTATTGCTTACCTACTTTTTAAATAATCTAAAGGATGTACTTTTTATGTACTTTTAGAAGGAAATAAGTATTTATTAAATGCCAACTATGTGCAAGCACTATGCTAAGTACTTTACAAATATTATCTCATTCAATCCTTATATAAAACAGTATGGGAAGGGGCTGCTAGGGGGCACAGTGGATAGAGCACCAGCCCTGGATTCAGGAGGACCTGAGTTCAAATGCAGCCTCAGACACATAACACTTACTAGCTGTGTGACCCTGGGCAAGTCACTTAAGCCCACTGCCTAGCAAAAAAGAAAAGCAAAAACAAAACAGTATGGGATAGTGGAAAAAGCACCAGGTTTAGAGGCAGGAAGACTTCTGATTCTTACTAGCTATGTGACTATGAACAAGACACATCCTCTCACAGTTTGGATTTCCTACTAAGAAAATGTGGATAATAATATCTATGGTTACAATTTCACTGAATTATTTTAAGGTTCAAATGAGATGATACCTGTAAAATACCAAGCAAGCATTAAAGCAATGGATAAAAGTCAGTTATGATCACTGCAGTGATAGAAATATTTGCTGTTGGGGTGGTGATAATAGTAGTGATGATATGATGACAATGACAAAAAAATTAAAATGTCTTCAAATGTCTTCAAATACTGCAGATGACATAAGCCCTTGTCTTCAAATACTGCAGATGACATAAGCCCTTATTAATCACTGGGTAAATTCAGATGCATAACTTGATTAATGAATTATATTTCACCATTTAATTCAATAATTATTAATGCTACATCACACTTCAACCTAGCTCAAAAGAGTTAAATGATGTTTAAAACCTTTTTTTCTTAGATACTTTGCATTATCTTCCCACTCCTCTAGAAATTTGGGTTCAGCCAATAAATTATTTCTCCATATTTCTTACTTTAAAAGGATAAGGAAAACTAGTCAGTCTGTTTTCAATAAATAGTTTTGATTGGTTTGATAATTTTTGTGAGAAAAGACAAAGTTTCTTCATTTTAAAGTTTCCTATAATTTTCCATTCAAATTCTAGTTAACTGTAAGCAGTTAACTTAGTGTTGCTAAGCACTTACAGGCAAAATACCATGCAATAGGAAGTTTGTCTTTTTTTTAAGATGGAGGAATTTTGGATAAAAATGAATTACTTCTCAGAGCAGGTACTGAGCATTAAGTTATTTTCAGGTAAAGCACAAAGCAGAATAGAGATGGCTTAATTTATCAGCATCCTGTGTGGGTGTCAGTTGTGATGTGTTAATGTCTTTTTTTCTTTGACCTTACAGCTTTCTCCATCTCCAGCGAGAATAGCCAGGTTGTCATGATAGCCATTTCAGCTGCAGTAGCAATTATTCTTCTGACAGTTGTGGTATATGTCCTGATCGGGAGGTGAGTTCATCATCTATCTTATACATTTACTTTCTTTTCTTAACTGCTGCCAGAGTTTTATGAGAGAAGTCAATCAAGAATTTCCAGGTATAAGAGTTGCTTGGACTTGAAATTCTACTGTGTTCTCTTTTTCTACTTCTTTCTTTTTCTCCCCACTTGATTTTACCTTACCTACCTGTTCTCTATTTTTTCCTTCTCCTGTTCTGTCTGCCTCCCTTCTATGTTTTTTCCCTCCCTTTCTTCTCCAGAAACCCATAGCAACACCACACAGCAGTAATGATTGCTAAAAATAGCAGAACCCAATCTTCATCCATTCAATAGTTGTATAAAAAATATTAAAAACTATAAAGATTCTAAGGCCATTGTAAAATTCAACTAGAGAGACAGCATGATAGAATTTGGGAAACTCCAAAGTCTCCCATTAATCAGTTTTCCAGTCTTCTGAGAGTTCAGCTTTCCTGTAGAGAGCATAGAAGATATGAACATATTAAACTTTCACTAGAGCATTTAATTGTTTAGGTAAAACACTTTATTCTCATGCTTCTTTCACATGAGAATATATTCACATGTAAATATATAATGATTTCAAATTTCCTTTTTAAATGTTCCTTCCTCTTGCTTTGTTCCTAGATTTTGTGGCTATAACAAATCAAAGCATGGTGCAGAGGAAAAAAGACTTCATTTTGGGAATGGACACTGTAAGTTTCTGTATTGTAATTTCAGTGTTTTAGTTTTAGCATTTGTTGATTCATGAACGAAATCACATTTTGTTTTGTAGAAAGTAAAATTTTCAGGAGGAGCAATATGGTAAATGAAATTGATCTCCAAAAGGAAAAGAAAGTTTAGTTCTCAACATTAAGTAATCTTTAAGAGTCTGCATTTCAAAATTCAAATAAATGGGAACCTATGCATTTTGTCCAAATATGGGTATTAAACCAACTGTTTTCTACTACGCATTGCTGAAATGCAAAACAGAACATCAGCTTTCTCATTTTCAATCTCTGATGAAATGTAAATAGAAACTTGCTTTCTAAGTTCTAAGAAGAAAAAAAACGTAAAAGACTTCAGCCTCTGCAGTGTCCTATTCCATAGTGGTCTACCACAAGGAAACTTCCAAACATTCTGTTTTATTGTGGAGTTACCTGATAGTCAATTATTAGCTAAGCCTATATATTTCACATTTTAAGACTACCAACTGAGCCTCTTCTAATTTTCTCCAAAAGAAAACCTCCCCTGGGAAGGAAAGTGTTTAATTGCAGATGAAAAGGCTTTCTGGTTTTAGTTTTGGTGAAGCAAATTGTCTCAGATGTTTTTGGAGAATGCAAATTAGTTTACTTTTCAAAAATATATTCCATCTAAAAGTGGCAACCAAAAACTGATTACCTAAAAGAAGCAGTGGGGTCTTTTAAATTTCTTTTTAAAACACAAATTATCTACCTTTAAAAATCTGCTGGACTTTTTTGTACACATATTTGCTAAAAAATCTGCATGTCAGCGGAAATTACTCCCTGGATTTACTTCTAAGAACTGTAATATTAGCTATATCTCAAGTGAAAACTTTATTAATAATTGCCAACGTGAAGTATATGTACAGTAGCTTGGAGAAAGAATATATTCCAGAATTTAATTGCAATGGGACAGAAATGGCACCAATTGCCAGATTACATTATTCTTTTTGTCTAATGTGTTTTCCTTCTGTTTCATTTCTGAGTGGAACATGACTGTTATAATAGTTCCCAGGATCATTATGCTACCACTGACAATTAATGAACTATTGATGAACTGGACACAAACAACCCAGTATTCATGTGTGACCCATATCAGCAATGCTTCATGATTCAAAGTAAATTAGGTTATAAAATAAAAGCATTCATTAAAAAAGTGCCACAGATGAATTGCAGGTCATGGTTTGTTTTCTTCCCTGGCTGTCTGACATGGGTGAGGTGATAGCCATTCATAAATTAGTCAGAGAAGTTAAATTCCTGTGGATTAAGGGGCTTTTAATTTGAACTAGACAATTGACTGTAAATATTGTTTTTAGAGTAGTACCACGCCAATTCTATACATTTTATTAGAATTATAAATCTAATGAATTTTAGCCTTTGATGCCTTTTTTTGTAAGCATGCATTTACTGTATTATAAAGACCTGTCCTAGCTATGAGATTCTATAGTGGCAGTTGTTAAAACTTGACTTTTCTTTGATTTCACAATGTTCTTAAAAGACACAGAAAGTTCTCTTTATTCTGGCTGCAGGAGGATAAAGTAACCTCCATGCCTGTCATAAACTTTCTGCATCTTAAATACCACAGATGGTTTATTTCAGTCCATTTATTCTGTATTACTTTTAAAAAGCTCCAGCTAGGAACTATTCCCTCCAGCCTTATTACAAATCCTATAATATTGCTTCAAAGGAACAGAAATGTGCTTCACCTCCTCAGATGCTATCCCTTTGCCCTCTCTGGCTGGGACCTTTTTTTTTTTTTTTTTTTTTTTACCTTTTGCTACCCTTAGGGCAACTCATGCTGGTAAATGGAAATGTAAATCATTGTGTTTGCACAAAATGAGCTGTAAAGTAGTACAGCTTAACACATGTTCATGTGTTTATTATCTGTTTTTCATGACAGAACCCAGTTACTCTATGTGCTGCCCTTAATTATTGGTGTGAAGGGATTATTCTCCTTGCAGCCTGGATCACCTGATCTCTGGACCCTCTGGGGTCACCACTTAAAAATCAGCAGCAGAAATCCCAACAGGAACCATCTTTTAATTTTGTTGTGTGTGGCAGGTTCTTGTTGTTGTTGTTAGTTTTTGTTAAAAATTGAATAGAGGGAGGAGGACTGTAAATTGAACTTAGTGTAGATGGAAAAGACATTTACAAAATTTTTAATGAACAGCGATATACGGTGAATTACTTTTTTTGTTTTTATATAGGAATAATCTCATCTTTTTAATACCACATTTTTCTGTTAGTGCTTTCCCTAATGAACTTAAAAAAAGAACCACCCAAAAAAATTATTGTTTTTGAGCCCAGCAAGTTATTTTGCAATCTTTTTTTTTTGAGGCAATTGCCTGGCAACTCATTTTATAACCCTCTCAGTAAATTCTGATGGCGGTCAATCTCCATAAAATTGATTTCCTTAAGCTCTTCAAGAAAAAGAAATACTATTGTGATTATTTGCTAAAATAATGACATCTACCTGAGGTTTGAAAGCATTTTTTTCTTTGAGTAATAAATACTAATATCCCTTTGCTTAATATCAGGATATAAGCTAAATAATGCAGGATGTAGGGATTATCTTATTTGAAACTAATGTGTGGGCCTGAACTATAGGCATTCACTTTATTGCAGCGGGACCCAAATAGTGAGAAGAGAGGATAACAACAGACTGATATGTGTCATTGTGATATTGCTACAAATTGCTACAAATGAGTATTGCTACAAATTCTAATCCAAAGTGATGACAGTCACATTTTCAATAGCTTTTTAGGATCTCTTTTAGGTTTTTATCTCTTTTTAGGTTAAGAACAAAACAAAACCAAACAAAAACAAACAAACCCTCCCCAACTTTGAGCATCTTATGTTACAACTGGAAGTTGTCCAGCCAGGCCCCTAGCTTTGAAGTTCCATCATCTGTACTTTAGTCCAGCCCTGGACTTCAAATGTCCTTGGAAGTGACAGGGGAGGCAGGCTAGAGAGCACACAGCCCTGTTTCCAAGTTGGAGCAGTGCAAGCAGCAGCTGCCAGATGAAGCAGGTGTGTTGGCAAAGCTGATCTCTTTCTTTTGCCCTGTATTCTCTCATTCCCTTGCCTCACTATGTTTGAGGAAGGAAATGATTGAGTAATGTTAACTCCCTTTTCACCACTCCATCCCAGCCCACCTAATCTGACATCAGTTTCGCTGCTGGAAAACTATTTTCAAGAATACTCAATGCCTCCACTGTGATGGATTTCCAATAGAGTAGCTCCTTAAGTTCCAAAAGTGCATAGTGGATTCAAGGGAAGTATTGGACATTTTTAACCTGATCTTTGTGGACTGTCTGTAATACAGCATTACTTGTAAAGAAATCTGCAGTTCCCTTGAAGTGCTCAATTACCATCTTGCCTGTTATTCGATATCTACTGCAAGATGACATTAAGGGACTTGTTGGCACTGTGCAAACTGTTCAATCTCTGAGCCTAACTTTCCTCATCTGTAAATTGGGAGTAGTATTACTAGTATTAGCTACTTTTAAGTATTATAGAAAGCCTAACACAAATAATTATGGGAATATAAATTTAAGGACAGCACAAATAGAAAAGCAGCTTTAGACTGAGGAACATCTGGCTGACAAATGCTTTGTGATCATAAGCAAGTCATAATCTTGTTAGACTATAAGTTAAAAAAGAATTGCTACTAGGTGGAGGGAATTTCTGCTATCTGAAATTGCTACAGAGCAGAAATAACAAGACAAAACCACCACTAAGCAAGTTATTATTGGCCTGAGCATTTCTATTTTTGAACAAGGAAACAATAAGAAACTCACCCTGCCTTCCAAACAATGTGAAATAAAATCTAATGATCCTTGTCATTTTCATTCCTAAAACTGTAGGGGTTGCTTATTACTAAAATTAGGAAATAGTCTGTGATTATTAGGTGTCAATAATGTCTTTCAGTTTAAACACGTTTTTCATCTAATTACTGTTATCTGTGTGACATCACAAGTAACATCAGTTCTCTGACCTAACTCCTCATCTGTGAAATGAGGAAGTTAGATTTATACAGTATTTGAGGCTCTTTATAACAGAACCAATGATCTAGTGATATTTCTACATTATCCCTTTGGGAGTTAATTTATGTCACTTAGCAGTCAAAGTTATTCCTGTTCTGTTAATTGAAGAACTTCAAATTCAGATGTTGGGGTGTCACATCTAAATCTTTTTCACATATATACATAAAAGAAGGATTTTTTTGTCGTTGTTCTTATTTCACTTAAGATCCTAAACATTTCTCGAAATATTTTACCTACAAATATTACCTACAATATTTCTTAAAATATTTTACCTACAAAGTTATAAAGATATCATTTCAAAATTAAGTATATTCCTTGGGAATTTTATATTATTTTATGACAATGTATATGCGGCTTGTGTTTACAAGGTTTTTTTTTCCTTAAAGGAATAATAGGGATGGTTTATAATGCCTAGAGCCCTCTTGCAAGATTTATCCAAGTGTTATTCATTAATATTATGCCTTATTATTAATTATATTGGCATTAATTAATCATAATAAAGAAAATAATGCTTTTTTGTCTCTTTGGCCTCAATTAAATGGTTAACTAGGGCTGTGTAAATATGGTCCATTAATGGAAATAAAGGGAGATGAATTATACTTTGTGAGATATTTGAAATATTTTTAGCCTTTACTTCTTGGTCCACCTGCCTTCCTTGATTGACAAGAATAGTCTTGTTCATCTTTGAAATCACTACGATTTTTTTTAAACAATGCTTGTACATGGCTCTATGTCTGTCAGTGTCTGGGATATCAGGGAAAAAGTAAATGCTACTTATATTTCAGAAATGTAAGGATTTTTTCTTTTATCAATAGTTTGTTAAAATTTGATTTGTACCATAGATTTTCTTGGTGCTAAGAACCCAGATATAATAATGCATCTTTGTCCTGTGCCCTTCTTTTACAGTAAAGCTTCCAGGTCTCAGAACTTATGTAGATCCCCATACATATGAAGACCCTAACCAGGCTGTGCATGAGTTTGCCAAGGAGTTGGATGCTACCAGTATATCCATTGACAAAGTTGTTGGAGCAGGTAAACACTTTAATGTAATTCTTTCCTACAAGTGATCAACAGGGTATTACGGTCCAAGCAATATTTGTATCTGTATCACAATCATCATTACATGATCATCCTGTCCATCTGTCCATCTATCTATGAGGCAGCTAAGTATCTGAGTATCAAGAGTGTTGGACTTGGAGTCAGGAAGATATGAATTCCAATCTTACCCCAGACACTAATTTCACAAATCACTTGACTTCTCTCATTTCCACATCTGTAAAATAAGGATAATTAATAATAGCACCTACCTCAAGGAATTTTTTCAAGGATCAAATGAGATAATATTTGTAAAGCTTTTTTTTGCAAAACTTAAAGTGCTATAAATGCTACCTGACACCATCAATATTATTATCTATAAATGTATCTTATCTGTTTCTCTGTATACAAATAGCCAGTATACAATAGTGAGCAAAAAAGATGACTAAGTCCACTCATTTCCCTGGTGCTGAATACATTACTAGGAGAAGTTTTCTCTTGTGAAAGTGAAAGGTTGAAATTTGAAAATAGTGGAGGTATGCTTAATGGAATTTAATGATTTCAAAGGTGCCAGACTTATAGACCTGTAAACCACAACATTCATACTTAGGATCTATTCAGCTGCTTAGACAGCAGGAAAAGCAAAACCTTTCCAAGGTCACTGTGATGATGTGTCAAAAAGTCTGATTCCAGGAATATTAAAGTGCAGTTTTACTTTGTTTTAAACAAACCCAATATGTGAAAATCTATTTGAACACCAAAGATTTGCCTTACAAAATGATCATCAATTAGATTTTTTTAAAACTTCAAGTTTCTCTAGTTTGCTTAAAATGTGACAATCAAAAATGGAGAAGTATGCACAATTTTGGAAAGCCTTGTAAGAAATAAAAAGCACTGAGTCAGAATCCACTAAGACCAGTTTCCTTACAGAGACTAATAATTAGGAAGACAAGTCAGTAAGAGAAAGTTAGAGTTCCCCATGTCAGTCACAGATCCAGACTAAGGAGATATATGTAGATGTGTGTGTGTGCGTGTGTGCGTGTGTATGTATATACATATATATTTATGTGTATACACACACACACACACACACACACACACACAAGATTCTGGTTGTACCAATTAATCAGTTGTAATCAATTGATGTTACAGGTATCCATGATTCTTAAACTGGCATATAGATAGTACATATGTATTGTATATATATACACATATGCTTATACATACAGATACGTATGCATGCATGCACTGTGAATATATAAATATATACATTCATATGTATATAGTTATATTCCATTTAAAGAATGATGGATTCCTGTAAGAACCTAATTGAGATAACCAAATAATTGCTTTGTGTTTTGTTTTGTTGTGTTTTCACCTTTACGTGGAGGTAGTTGGAAATAGATTTCTAGCATACTTTAGAAGTATGGATAAAATGCCAAGGAACCAAGGGCTTGTTGGTCATTGCCATGGGGCAGTTAGGTGTCACAGTGGATAGAGTTCTAGTCTAGAGTCAGGAAGACCTGAGTTCAAATCCCACCTTAGATACTTACTAGCTGAGTGACCCTGGGCACTTAACCCTGTTTGCCCCAGGTTCCTCATCTGTAAAATGGGCTGGAGAAGGAAATGGCAAACCACTTTAGGATCTTTGCATAAGAAAACTCCAAAAAACAATCAAGAATAGTCAGGGATGACAGAAAATGGCTAAATAACAACAAAACCAATCTAAAAGAAAATAAACTGCAAAGACAATGTGATGTAAGTATTATAGTGAAGGACTGAAAAAAATGTCTCTTCCAATTATCTCTGTCATATTATAGAAAGTCACATTAACTATAATGCTAAAATATCACAAAGGTATAGGACTGTTTTAGCTTGACAAGGAAGATTTTATTCTCAATACATATGAGTCAGAAAAGCAGCAATATAGCAAATAGAGAGAACTTGCCTTAGAATTGAGAAGAATTTAGTTCAAGTTCTGTTTCTGACACATGTGACCTTGGATAAGTCACTCAAATTTTCAGTGCCCCAGGGAACTCTGTAAAACAGAGGTCCTTAACTTTTGTGTGTACGTATGTGTCCTTTATACATTTGGCAGTCTGATGCAGCCTATGGATCTCTTCGGAGAATGTTTTCAAATGCATAAAAACAACATATATAGAATTACAAAGGAAACACAGTCTATTGAAGTAGTTACAATGTGTGTATACACATATATGTTTTTATATGCACACATGTACAAACTATATATTAAATATATACTATATATTATACATATATGTGAGTGTGTATGTATGTGTATATGTATATATGTGTGTGTGTATTATGTATATGGAGAAAGAAAGAACTAGTTCATGGGCCTATGTTTCTTTCTGAAACATTTTAAATTCTCCCTTTCTTTTTACCCTATGTTTTTAAAATAATTTTTGGGATAGTTTTTGATTTTCTATTGCATTCATTTATGAAAATAAGCCATAACCTCCCTCTATGCCAGAAGCCAACACTTTATAGAAAAAGAAAGAGAAAAGGAACCTTTCAGCAAATACAACCAGCACATCAACTCTGTGTAACACCGTTAAGTGCATACCAAAGAAAGGTGGGATATGTATTTTCTTAACTCTTACACTTGGGTCAAGTTTAACAGCTGACATTTAATATTGATTGTTATTCAAAGTATGAGTTAGTCATTTATTATAGGAAGTTCATTTTATTTATGTTTTCTTTTCTCAATTCAAAATGCAAGAGGGCTTCATGATTAATGAATTTATTTTGAAACTCCCCTTACAACCACATTGCTTCAGAGTCAGAACAGACTTAATTAGGAATCTCTTTTTTTTTCCTTTCCCCAAGGCTATAACTATTCACTAATTATTGTTCATTGTGAAGTTTTATTTCTTGCTGGTTTTAACACTGCCCCACAAGAGTGCACTGTTCTCCATCATCTTCAGTGGAAGTAGTAGTTTGCTGCCCAAAGATTTTGCAAATTGAACTTGGAAGCTTGATGGAGTGGGGAAGAAAGGAAAGAAAAGAGACTTAGATTCAGCTAACACCCAAACCTACAGATGTAATATGTATACAGGTGTACACCCTGTGAGTCTTGAGACAATTCTCTAATGATCTTTGGTTTAGATGACCTTGTTGGTCTTAACTACAATGGCAGAAGCTTGATTTAAAAATGGGGATGTTGGAGAAATCTTTCATGTTAAAAGATTTTAGTTGGAAAAGGACAGATGTGAGAGGTCAATTCCAGAGCCATTACTCAGTTTTGTAGTAGGATTTACTAAAAGATTTACTGATCTTCTTTTGTTATTGTAGTGTGAGTCTGAGGTTTAGCTATTTTTTTCTTCCTCTCTCCAAATTATATTTAGTTATATTTGCATGTATATCATTTGTATGTCTTTGTGCTAAGATATTAAGTTGTTATATTAAATATACTCTCTAGTCCCAAAATGCAAGCTTAGTTCTAGGTATAAATTATGGCTATTTTATTTTGTAAGGAGCACTCATTTTGTAATTCAGTTTATGTGTATTCCCAGGACTGTGGGATTTCGTATTCTCAGAAACATAAATCCAAACGTATCTAGCCTTCTCTGTGTTCCTACCCACTCCCCAACTGTCAAGATGAAATCATAAAACATTATAAAGTTATACTGGATTTCTAGCCAAATATGTATATCCTCTTTGTAATACATTCAAATAAGGAGGAATTCTTCCTAGACGTCAGCCTAGATCTTCTGGAAGAGATTCAATACTATGACAAATTTCTTCTCAAGATCTAATAATAAAAAATACCTGTACAATTACCCACTTGATTTGAAATTTGGTGTAAAACACTTGTACAGAGTTTCTTCATTGGGGAGTTCCTGTTCCAAAGAAAGTAATGAGTGCTTTGCATAAAGTAGTCCCTTAATAAATTCTTCGTCCCTTCCTCCTTCCGTCCCTCCCTCCTTTCCTTCCTTCCTTCATTTCTTCCTTCCTTCCTTGTTTCTAAAAGAAAGGAAAGAAAGATGAAAACTATACAAAACTAAACAAAAAAGTACCCTCACTCAAGGAACTCACAGTTCAATGCCATATAGGCAGATGGACTAAACCAGGTTGAGGGTGACTAACAAGCCTCAGATGAATTGGCGAGTTAAAGGAACTCCAAGCATATGAAACTTCCCTGGTGGAATGGGCAAATGAAAACAATTTGTTCCAAAGCCATAAAGGCAGTCGTGGAACACTTAGACCGTGGTCAGACATTGAAGATACCAAGGTCATCCAGTGCATCCTGGGCCATCACCAGTCATCTTGACTCTTGTCTTTCTCTTGGACTTCAGTGACTCTGAAAGAGAGAGTGAAGCTGATGACTGTGCAGCTCTGCCTCACTTAAATCCGATTCACTTTCAAGTCAAGACATCAATCCATGATGTCCCTGGTTCTCTTTGAAATGAAAGATGAACAACAACAGGTGAAAATGGAAGGAAACCAAGAAGTAGACATGTATAGAGAGAGAGTTGCAGACACGAGAAACAGTCAGTGAAAATGTCTAGAGTCAGGAGATAGACTGCCATGCATAAGGAACTACACAGAGGTCAGTGTCACTAGATAGCAGGTACAGAGAAGGGAATCATGTATAGGAAGACTGGAAAGGTGGAAGGAGGGCAGTTAATGAAGTATTTTAAATGTCAAATAGAATATTTTATATTTGATCCTAGAGATAATAGAAAGCCAATGAAATTGATTAGATGGAGAGAGTGTGGGTGTGTGTGTGAAAGAGACAGAGACAGAGAGACAAAGAGCCAAGAGACAGAGACAGATAGAGAGAGAGAGAGAGACTTGATCACATCTGTGCTTAAGGAACATCAGTTTGACAGATGAGTATCAGTTGGACTAGAGTAAGGACAGGCTTGAGGCAGGGAAACCAACCAGCCACTTATTACAATAGTCCAGACATAAGGTGATGAAAGCCTGGCACTGGGATGGTGTCAGAGGAGAGAAAGAAGCATATAAAAGAG